AGTTTCCCTCTTTTCAGTTTATCCACATTTCTCCTTGTCCTGTCACTGCAGTTCCTAACCAAGAGTCCTTCTGCAGCTTCCCTTCCCAGCTCCTGGCAGGTTCTCTGAGGTCTCCACACAACCTTCTCTTCTCCAGGCTGAACAGCCCCAAGTCTCTCAGCCTGTCCTTGCAGGGAAGGTGCCCCAGTTCTCTGAGCAGCTTCCTGTGGACTTGCTCTAACAGTTCCATGTCCTTCTCATCATGTTGAAGAAAACTCACCTGGTCCCCCTTTCCCAGAGGCCTCCAGCTTGCGGAGCTTAGCTATCTCATCCTCCGTGATGATGGTCATGTCCCTCCAGAAATCCACGTTCTTCCCTTGCTCCAGCTCCATGTACACCTGCAGGCAGGAGACAAGGCAGACATCAGGCACCTGGTCCAGAGCCTGGACAGGGAAACAGAGCTGGGGGGAATCCCTGAGCCTGGGCAGAGGGGCAGCAGTGCTGGCACCTGGATGTCCTCCACCAGGTCCTCCATGTCGGAGACGGTCAGGCCGTTGAGGAAGGTGTAGGGCTCGTGCATCTCCACCGCCAGGTCATCGTCCTCTGCGCTGATGTACTTGGCCAGGAGGTCGATGGGTTTCGCTCTCCCATCCCGAATCCGGATCTTAGACCTGGGTGAGGAGAGGGACAGTGAGCGGTGCCATCCCCTGCTCCCTGCCCAGCTCGGTCCCGTGCGGCCGCACGCCTACCGCAGCTTGGCCTGCTGCAGGTGGAAGTTGTCCTCCTGCTCCTCCCAGGTTTTGAAGTGCTCTGCCTCTTTCTCCCGCTGCAGCATCTCCAGCTCCTGCTCCCTCATGGCCTTCTCCCGCTCCCGCTCCAGGCGCAGCTGCTTCACCTGCCCGGGGTGAGTGAGATGTGAGGCCACTGTGGATGGACACCACACCGGGCACCTGCTCAAGGACACAGCCACCACCCTGTCCCCAAGCTGCCTCAGCTCCTCCATCAGCCCAAGCTCCTGGAGAAGCAGGGGAAGGAGAGCCAGGGGGACCAGGCTGCCTGGGGCTCACTGCCAGCCCTGCAGGGGACACAGGCACAACCGACTGTCTTGTGCCATGACCTGGCATTGTCCTCCTCAGCACCTCCTAGGCTGAGCTAACCCCAAGGGAAGGGATTTCTCAGTCTGGAATAGCAGCAGTCAGGGTAGTGTGGCCCCCCAGTCCTACAACCCATGCCCAGGGAGAAGAACAAGGGGAATTCCCAGTGAGTGACACAGAGAACTGGGCTGTCCCCAGGGTTCTGTGTCAGGTGGTGGGAGGGAAGGACATCTTATCCCACCTTCTGCAGCTCCAGGCGATTGTCCTCCTGGATTCGCTTGTTCCTCTCCTTTAGGTCCTTCTCATCCAGGTGGCTGATCCCTTTCTTTTCTAGTGCCTGAAACAGAGTAGCCAAGGGAAACTGTGAAACCCAATGACCTCCAAGCCCTCACTGACCAGCAAACACACATCCTCCTGCTTCTGCTGCTCCAGTGAGCTCTGATCCTTCCAGAGCTCTCCAAACCCCTCAAACCCTTCTCCTGAACACCCTCAGGAACCCAGGCCCAGCCCAGAGAACCCACTCGGCCAGGCACAGCAGTACCACGGAATCACGGAACGGTTTGGCTCGGGAGGAACTTTAAAGCTCATCTCATTCCACCCCTGCCAGGGGCAGGGACACCTTCCACCAGCCCAGGCTGCTGCAGCCCCTCCAGCCCGGGGCGCAGCGCTCACCTTGCTCCAGATGAAGGTGCCCAGCAGGTTGTTGTCGCCGAAGGGGTTGTCGGTGTTGGTGTACCCCATGTACTCCTCTCCCCAGCCCATCTTCTCCCGCTTCTTCCTCTCCTTGGCCTCCTTCTTGGCCAACCTCCGCGCTCGCTTCTCCTCGGGTGTCTCCAGAGC